TGAATTCAATTTTTTTATGGAAAAGTTAATATGTATGTTAAACTGAAAAATGTTGGCGGATTCAATTTTTTAAGAAATTCACAAAATGTTCCAAATTCAAAATATTTTTGTGAAGTTGAATTTTTAAATTGAAAAAATATATCCAATTTATTTATTTTGCTAAGTTTATAAAGAATTTGCAAATAAAAAAATGTCCAGGAAAGTTAACAAATGTTCATGCAGTTCAATAAATGTTTCAAACTTTTAAAATTTTCACGAATAACAAACAATGTTTGCAGAAAAATAATGAACCAAAAAATGATTACATATTTGGAAAATGTCCGTGAATTTGGAAAATGTTTATGAGGTTGGAAACATTTTCACAGATCTGAAAGCTGTTTTTGAATTAAAAATGCACATGAATTTGAAAAATGAAAAATAAAAAGTACTCCCTCCATTCCAAATTAATTGCCTCAAGCTTAGTAAAATTTTGTACTAAAACTAGTACCAAGTTGAGACACTTATTTTCGGACGAAGGGAGTATGCAAGAAGCACAAGAAAAACAGAAGGAAAACACAGGAAAAAGGAAAACTGGTCAGGGAAGGAGAATGAAAGAGAAGAGTCACTAAAAGTCTCTGGTTGGGTTGGCTCATCTTTGTGTAGTGGGAAGTATGTGGTACACGGTAGGTCGCTATCTAGCGGCCTACGCACGCTATAGGAATCGTACCCTAATTCAGCTGGGGTTGGGCTATTTTGCTTGGATACGGGCCGACATATTAGAGGGCTAGGCCCACCTCAACAATACAGGCAGATCATACATCCTACAGCGTGAGAGCTATGTCTTGCAACATTGCGAGACCATGTACCGTTTCACGAGAGCTACTAGTTGAGGAACGTTCGTTCGGGAGCCTCCCAAGGGTCACTTGGTGTGGCTGAGAGCGCGCGCTCTCAGCCGCCGCCGTTTGTCGCGCTCTGGGCGCTACCTTTGATTTTTTTTATTTTTCTGCACGCGTTTTTGGCTTTTTAGATATATTTTTTGGCCTTTTGGTTTTCTACCCGTCTTTCTTAGCTTTTGAACAAAAAATTTACACGAAAAATTCTTCTTTTCGCGTGAAAGGCATGGTTTTGCTTTCGCGGGAGACACGAAAAAACATATTTTTTTTCCTTCCGCGAGAGGCACGGCCATGCCTCTTGGAAACAAAAAAATATGTATTATTGCTTCCGGGAGAGGTATGGTCATGCCTCTCAGAAACGAAAAAACATGTTCTTTTCTTCCACCAGACGCATGGTTTTTTGACAAAAAAGAGTACGTCAAAACCTATCAACATGTGATCTAATTTTGAAGATCTCCACGTGAGGAATCCAAAATAAGAGCTTTGTTATGTCTGTCAACATCTTAAATTCCAATTCCACACTAATATTTTGGCTTGCTGACTTTGCCTAAAGCAACCAGAGTAGTCCGATGATCTTCCATACCATACTTTCTCCAAAGACAATGCCTATTTTTTTTATTGATTTGATTAACCACAACCACTAGCTGAGCAAGAGTACACATGAAGAATTTGGACAGTGAAGAGAAAAATGACTTAACCAAAAGGAGCATTCCATCATATGCCATAAACACATACCATCATATGACATAAGGATGGAACAACTAGAGGGCCCTCTGCGAGGGCTAGGATCGTACCGAGGTGGGTTGCAGCTGGTACGAGTGGAGGCAAGGATGAGAGACGGTCGTCTGACCCTAGGCTGTGGCTCAGATCAAAGCATGTGGGCTGGACGACACGATGGATGGTGGCTAAGTGGCAAAAGCAAGGTGAGGCCAGGTGGTAGCGGATTGGTGGATCACTTCGGAAAGTGAGGGTAGGGGAACCACGTGGATGCACTTGTTATATCCTTCTCCATAAACCCATAACAAATACATACGTCCAGAATGTCCCGCTTAGCGTTGCATGACTATACTTTTGGGTCATGCTAAACCGAACATGTGATGATCCCCTGGCCCCAGGGAGTGCACATTAGACTTTCATTCATTCGTGGCGCTGTAGGAGGAGGCGATACCTTTGGCGCGGAGGAGGAATAAGAGGAGGGTGCGAAGGAAGAAAGGCGAGCACGATGGGACGAAGGAAGAAGAAGGCCGAGGGAATAAAAAGGGGGAAGGGTACGTGAAGATGAAAGAACTCGAGGCTTCACACGACAACGCGCGCGCAATATTGCCGTCTGTTTTGGCATTGGCGGGGTTATTTTGCTCATATACCTTGGCGTAAATTTGTTTTTGTAAGCAAAAATGGCCAACCTTTTTATTTTAAAGTTTTAAGCGAAATGGGAAAATGGCACGTGAACGGAGGGGGCAGGTGGCAGGGAGGGGGTGACGAGCCGGACGGAAACCTCATAAACCCCGAGCAAGCAGAAGGAAGACGGGCACGACGGGACGACGGAAGAAGAATGATGATGAGGGAATAAAAGGGGAAGGGCGGCAACAATAACCTAGGCTAACCGTTGCCCGGATGCGGCCCAAGCAAGCAGAGCCCACCCGGGTGAGGGGAGGGGTGGAGACCTCACCAGACCGGCATCCCTCCCGCGCAAAGGGACCCGACCCCAAAAATCGAAATCCGCGCGCTTTCCGCCCCCGACCGCGCCCGCCTTCCCTTCCGCTCATTTACCCCCCACTCGCACTCTCTCTGTGTTCCCCTTCCACGTCGCTTCGCTTCCTCCCACCCACACCCCTACCAGCCTAGCCTACGATCGAGCCCACCCCCACCCCCACCCCCACCCT